TGAAGAATCTACAAAAACTCCTTGCTAGTTAATTTGAGATGAAGGAATTAGGTGAGTTACAATATTTTCTTGGCATAGAAGTTGCTAGATCAAAACATGGCATATTTCTATCCCAACGAAAATATGTGTTAGATTTGTTAACAGAAACTGGAATGCTTGATTGTAAGCCAACTGACACACCTATTGAGCAGAACCACAAGTTAGGAATGTATCCAGATCAAGTACCCACAGACAAAGAAAGGTATCAAAGGTTGGTTGGGCGACTGATCTATCTATCACACACACGCCCCGACATAGCTTATGCTGTGAGTATGGTGAGTCAGTTTATGCATCAACCAAGTGAGGCACACATGAATGCAGTAACTCGGATCATGAGGTACTTGAAGGCTGCCCCTGCTAAGGGGTTGATATTCTCCAAACATACACATATGAACCCAGAAGGATACACAGATGCGGATTGGGCAGGATCCATCACAGATAGACGTTCTACTTCTGGATACTTTACATTTGTGGGGGGCAACTTAGTCACTTGGAGAAGTAAGAAGCAAAAAGTTGTGGCTAGATCAAGTGCTGAAGCAGAATTTAGGGGAATGGCTCAAGGAGTTTGTGAATTGCTCAGGTTACGGAGATTACTGAAGGATCTGAGAGTTAAACCATTAAAAGCTACAAACTTGTACTGTGACAATAAATCTACTATCGAGATAGCACATAACCCAGTACAACACGACCGTACCAAACATGTGGAAGTCGATCGACACTTCATCAAAGAGAAACTAGAAAGAGGTATAATCAAGTTTCCATTTGTAAACTCGGAAAACCAACTTGCTGACATCCTGACGAAGGCCGTATCAAGTAAAGTTTTCCACGACTCACTGGACAAGTTGGGCATGCGTGATATCTTTGCACCAACTTGAGGGGGAGTGTTAGTTAAGACATAGAAGACAACTTACCTCAAACAAGGAAAAGCTTGTCTGCCACCTAGAGACACATTTCCCTGCTTTCATTTCCATGTTTTAGGGATGGAAACTCTCCTTGTTTCCCTCCATGTTTTGTGCATTGTTTGTAACTAATAATCAGCCATGTACAATTGTATATATCACTCTCTCCAAGTTAATAATTCAATTGGCATATTTGAATTCTCTGCAAAACCTATCTTGTTATACATTCTCAACTCTCTCAATTACACTATCTTTGGCAATCTCCTCCAAAAAATCTAGATCGCTTTGAAGCCCAAACAAATAAATCGGAACCAAGGTAGTGTAATGGAAAAGTGAAACTGAAGCTTTGCTACATTTACAGAGCTAAAGGGATGCTCAAGGAATTTGTGGATGCAATCTATCCTCTGGTACATGAGTCATTACGTATCGAATCACTTCAGCAAAAGGTGAAAGTGAAAAAGAGGCTCACAAAAAGTGTTCTGTTAGAAAGGGCGAAAGTCCTGGATGATCACCAAACAGATAACCTATTATGCAGATCTAGACCAGTAGCTCCTGCATTAGATCTGCTGAAAGCTGCCAGAGCGAAGAAGTTGCTTCAAAAGAAGGCAAAAGTAAAGGAAGAAAAGAGAGCTAAGTCAATGGTTGCTGGAGTTGACTGGCAAAGTGATGATTCAGGTGATGATCCACCAGAAGAAATTGCTAAAATATGAATACGGGTTTTCAATATGTTCAGATATTTTATTCTTCTCCATAAGGAGGTATATATATGAGTTTACAGAGTGCTTTACAAGGAATATAAGAAATTAGGAAAGTATCTCCTAATTATACACAGATTTGTCAACTAAATGGAATGGGAAAGTAAATCCCTTAATTAATCAAGGAAATAAATCTCCTTGATTAATTAGGAGACTCACGTCAACACTCCTCCTCAAGTTGGTGCATATACGTCACCAATGCCCAACTTGGTAAGTGAGTCATAAAACACTCTGCTACAAACAGCTTTGGTTAAGATATCAGCTAATTGATCTTCTGATTTTACGAATGGTAGGCGGATGATCTTCTTCTCAATTTTTTCTTTGATAAAATGTCTATCCACCTCAACATGTTTGGTTCGATCATGTTGAATTGGATTATGGGCAATATCAATAGCTGACTTGTTGTCACAATGCAACTCCTTTGGCTTTTCTGGCTTGAAACCCAATTCTGTCAAGAGTCTTCTGATCCATAGCAATTCACAAACTCCATGAGCCATTCCTCGATACTCTGCTTCTGCACTAGACCGAGAAACCACATTTTGTTTTTTACTCCGCCAAGTGACTAGATTACCTCCCACGAAGGTGAAGTAGCCTGAAGTAGAGCGTCTGTCAGTAATGGATCCAACCCAATCAGCATCTGTATATCCCACAACTTCAAGATCTCTATTCTTTGAGAACATTAATCCTTTTCCAGGGGCTAACTTTAACTACCTTAAGATTCGATCAACTGCATTCCTATGAGACACACTGGGTGAATGCATAAACTGGCTAACCACACTCACACCATATGCAATATCTGGTCTTGTGTGGGCTACATATATTAACCTTCCAACAAGGCGTTGGTACTGTTCCTTATTGGTTGGTTCTTGATCCATACCTTCACACAATTTGTGATTCATCTCGATTGGTGTGTCAACAGGCTTACATCCAAGCAATCCTGTTTCAGCAAGTAGATCCAATACATACTTCCTCTGTGTCAGAAATATACCATTTGCGGACCTTGCTACTTCAATTCCAAGAAAGTACTTCAGATCATCTAAATCCTTCATCTCAAATTCCTGAGACAAATACTTCTGCAGTTTCAATTGCTCTCCTGTGTCGTTTCCAATCACAACTATGTCATCCACATAAACAATCAGTGCGGTAAGCTTCTTTCTATCACGCTTCAAGAACAAAGTGTGATCCGAATTACTCTGTGTATATCCAAAAAACTTCATGGATTTAGTGAATCTACCAAACCATGCCCTGGGAGACTGCTTTAATTCATACAATGACTTTTTGAGCTTGCAAACTTGATTCCCCTTGTCACGAGTGAAGTTACATCCTGGTGGTAAATCCATATATACTTCTTCTTCCAGGTCTCCATGTAAGAATGCATTTCTTTACATCAAACTGATGTAATGGCTAATCGAGATTTGCTGCTAGAGACAGGAGGACTCCGATAGTTTTGATCTTGGCTACTGGGGCAAAGGTTTCTTGGTAGTCTATCCCATATCTCTATGTGTATCCCTTTGCCACCAATCTAGCTTTATATCTTTCAATAGATCCATCTGCCTTGAGTTTCACAGTATAGATCCACCTGCATCCCACTGTCTTCTTTCCATGAGGTAATGGCACGAGTTCCCATGTGCCATTCCTCTGGAGAGCTCGCATTTCTTCATGCATGGCTTCTTTCCATTTTGGGTCTTCTAGTGCTTCAGTTACACTGTTGGGAACAGGTATGTCGGCTAACTGCTTCACAAAGTGTACCCGTGATTCAGATAATCTGGTGAGGGATACATAATTGTTGATGGGATATTTCCCCTTGGCATTAAGATCTGCTTCGTAGTGAACTGGGGGTTTACCACGATTCTTTCTTTTTGGAATCTGATATGTAGGCTCTGCGCCTTCTGAAATGCAATCAGTTATTTCATTAATGTTATCAGTTTCAGGTAGAGAAGTTACATGAATGACGTCCTCAGCAGATGATTGGTGTGGTACTGGAGCTAAAGAATTTTCCGGAGCAGGCACAAACTCTTCAATTCTCTCCTCCTGAGTGTGATGGCTGGGATCAAACTGAAGCGGAACAATTTCAGAAAAAACTGGGGGGAGCGACCGGTCGTGAGGGTCAGGCGACCGATCGCTTTCAGGCAGAGTCGTGGACATGTGTTGCGACGTGCGTGGCGACCGATCGTGAGAGACATGCGACCGGTCGCTTTCAGGCAGAGTTGTTGGCGTGCTTGGCGACCGGTCGTTAGAGACATGCGACCGGTCACTTTCAGGCAAAGTCGTTTGCGACCGGTCGTTTGCATCCCGCGACCGGTCGTTTTCGTCGGGCGACCGATCGCTAGAGGTCTGCGACCGGTCGTTCTGAGTCTGGAACGAATCTGGAAAAACTGCTGAAGTAAAAAATTCAAAAATTTGAGAAGGATCCTCCTGTGCATCCGAAAAATAGCTCTCTTGTTCCCGGAACGCAACATCCATAGAAGTATACACTTTCTGACTTGGAGGATGATAACACCTATAACCTTTCTGATGAGGTGCATACCCAATGAACACACACTTGTCGGCACGGGGTTCTAATTTGCTGCGTTGGTGATCATGTAAGTGGACAAAGACCACACAACCAAATATGTGGGGTTCCAGGTTTTGGGTGGGAGGTATTTGGCTATAGTGTTGGAGTGTTTGAAGGGGGGTTCGGAATTGGAGGATAGTAGAGGGAATTCGATTGATAAGAGATGCTGCAGAGAGTACGGCCTCGCCCCAAAAGGACCGAGGCATATTTGCACCAAAGAGGGAAGCACGAACTACTTCCAGTAAGTGTCTATTCTTTCGTTCAGCCACACCATTCTGTTGAGGAGTGGAAGGGCATGAGCGTTGATGGATGATACCGTGATCTTGGAAGAACTCATTAAGATCATGGTTGAGAAATTCCCCACCATTGTCAGACCGAAGAACCTGAATTCGGGTATGAAATTGTGTCTCCACCATGTGATAAAACTGTTGAAACTTGGAACTGACTTCCCCTTTAGTTTTGAGAAGGGAAACCCAGGTCATGCGTGTGCAATCATCAATAAACGTGACAAACCATCTAGCTCCCCCGGGAGTGGTAATTTTAGCAGGGCCCCAAACATCAGAATGAACAAGGGAAAAAGGAATTAAACTTTTATTGGAACTTAAGGGAAAAGGAACACGATGGCTCTTGGCCAGTTCACAAATGTCACACTTAAAACTAGAACTCTCTAAATTTGAAAATAATGAAGGAAATAGCTTCTGTAAATATCCAAACGAAGCATGTCCAAGACGGCGATGCCATAACCATACTTCGGAAGTTTTCTTCTCAACACTCGTCCCCCCAATTTTGTAAGCTTGACTGAGGCTGGCTTCACTGTCAGATGCCAGGTCCAAATAATAGAGTTTGCCCCTCCTAGTACCACAACCAATCGTCTTGCTGCTGAGAATGTCCTGAAAAACACAATGAGTAGGCCAAAAACTTACGGTGCAATTCAAAGCTGTAGTAATTTGGGCAACAGACAAGAGATTATGATGTAAGGATGGAACAATCAACACAGAATCCAAAGTGAGGGAGTCAGAGAGAGAGAGGGAACCGATTGGCATTAGACACCACCGATTGAGAAGGTAGTGTATGAGAGATAATTTTTCCCGGATCAAAGGTCATGTGATCAGTGGCTCCGGTGTCAATGACCCATGTGTGTTTCTTTGAGGAACTATGCAAAACATAACCTTGGGTACCTGATGTGGCTACAGAGGCAGAGGCAGGAGCCGGTGCAGGTGGAGCAGCAGGACTTACAGGATCCGTGACGGAAGATGTGTGGAGGGAGTTGCTCTTATTCCTGTGAGGAGCTTTGGAGTGGTCCCACCAATCCGGATACTCGATTAGTTCATAACAACGAGCACGAGTATGTTTGCTCCCACCACAATGAGTGCATTTGGTCTCCGGACGAGAGCTTGTGGTCTGAGTCTAAGAAGCGCCACCGGTAGAGGGCGGAGGGCCCCTCGGACGTTGAGTGGCCAGAACTGCAGTGTCTTGAGTACTAGCCATGGTCAGTCGTTGTTGAGCTTCGCGACGTACATATGCAAAAGTTTGGTCAAGGTCTAATTTGGGGTCTTTGCACAGGATCTCCCCCCGGACTTGATCAAACTGAGGATCGAGCCCAGCAAGGAAAAGGTGAACACGAAGACGATCCAGTTCAGTCTGGCGCTCAGTGACGTTGGCGTCACAGTGCATGCGATTTGGAGTGCGATGATCAATCTCCTGAAAGATGGTCTGCAGTTGGCTATAGTATTTGTGGACATGAGCACCATTCTGTTTAATGGTGAACGCCCGTTTGTTGAGATCAAACAAAAAAGTTTCATCCCCCCCATCAAAGTAGGTTTTCTTCACGGCATCCCAGATTTCTTGGGCGGTACTAAAATGGATGAACCGACCCATCAAGTCTGGAGACATGGAGACATGGAGACATGGAGACATGGAGTCGATGAGCCACCCTTTGACCCTAAAGTTCTCCGTACACCATTGGTTGTAAGTGGAGGAGACCTTAGAGGGCCGTGGAGTGTCGCCGGTGAGGTACCCCAATTTTTCGCGGCTAGCAATATGTAACTCCATGACCTGAGACCATAAGGCATAATTGATCTCTGTCAAGGTGATGCTGGTAGGAAACGGAGCGTTGTCACTCTGAATAGTAACAATTTGGGGGGATGAGGAAGTGGAGTCGGTGGTTTTGGAAACAATATCCATGGCAGCGGAAGGATTGAAGAATACGAGGGAAAAAACTATTTAGGGTTTCGGATATGTGTTTAGGGTTCGGATTCGTGTTTAGGGTTTCGGGATTCAGGATACGAGGATACGGGTTCGTGTTTCAAGGAATTCGATACGAGGGATTCAGGTTTCAAGAAATTCGATACGAGGATTTAGAGACAACCTAGGATCGATTGCTCTGATACCATGCTAAAATATGAATACGGGTTTTCAATATGTTCAGATATTTTATTCTTCTCCATAAGGAGGTATATATATGAGTTTACAGAGTGCTTTACAAAGAATGAGATTCAATCAGGAATTAGGAAAGTGTCTCCTAATTATACACAGATTTGTCAACTAAATGGAATGGGAAAGTAAATCCCTTAATTAATCAAGGAAATAAATCTCCTTGATTAATTAGGAGACTCACGTCAACAGAAATACACCAAGAACCTCCCCTGCTAGATCTTCTGAAGGATAAAGAGAATCATGGCCTTATAATGGATTTGTGCAAGTCACTGGCTTCCTTGCATAGATATTGCGAAGCATCGGAATTATAAATCTTGCTTTGAAATCGACTCGCAACATTTGTTCTGTTGCGGAGGAACTCCGGTCTCTTGGAGCTCAAATTGCATACAACACTCCGGATCCTGAGCATGGGGTTGACTGTGTAAAATACATTGCAGACGAGCATACATACAGCAATGCTGCCTGGAACTGCTATTACAAAGGAATTACCAGATTAGATGACTGGTATGCGAGGCATTATAAGTTTCTACGTGGTAAGCGAGACAAACTCAAAGACTGTGCACCTCCGAGTATCATTTCTGGGCATCATTTTACTAAAAAGAGCTGTCATCAAGATGCTGCAAGAGAATACCTTGAAGCTTAAAAATTATTGTCAGAGAATCCCCTGATTAATCTGTGTGTCGGTACTGCCTTAATCAACTTGGCCCTTGGACACAGACTTCAGAATAGGCACCAGTGTGTTGCACAAGGCTTAGCATTCCTTTGGCACTATGACAAAGTTCTTGCAATGCATGTACAGGATTACCCCATTCCAAAACTTACCCATGAAAAGCCAGAGTCTGTTGAAAATATATTACCGGGTTACTGTGACCTTCGCAAAGAAGCAGCTTTTAATTTGCATCTTATATACAAAAAGAGTGGAGCAGTTGATCTTGCTCGACAGGTCTTGAGAGATCACTGCATTGTCTGAGTAAGCAAACTGACATTAAAACATCAAAATCCAGTTACTCTTTTATTTCTGTACGTTTCAAGTATATGGTTGATTCTCTAATAAATAACAGGAAATCTTTTTCTTTGTTGCAGATAATCATGTTCCTAATCTCAGATATTGTGACTGAATTGAATGAGAGGGTGGCCTCTGTTGCGTAGATACAGCTGCACCAAAATGGATTCAGTTGCATCCTCAACTTGTGATACTCGCAAGTGCACA